AAGAATGTATGTAAGTATGTTGTATCAGTTTGTAAGTGAATTAAAAAATCAATGTTTATATTCATAATTTCAAATACCTATGCTAATTAATTAATTCAATATATCCGTTCAATTGTTATATAATTGTAATCGTATTGCAAATTATCATTAGAAGGTGTAATATGTAAAAATTGAATTATAAAATGTTATTTAAACTACACGTCTAATAAAGTAATTTAAACAATTAGATCTGATTTTTTTTTGGTATTAAGTCTAATGAGTACTAAACGAATTATTAATCATAATCGCTTTTTTAATACCTTAACAAAATTTTAAAAATTTGATTTGTATTGTGTAGATGAGCACATTTATTCTTCCATAACTATTTTTTTTTTACATAAAAACTAACTAGAAGCAAAATGCGGCTAAAACATAATAAAAGTAAGCGAATTTTTATGTACTCTATTCCAGGTATATATTTGATAAAAACTTTATTTTTATCCTTTTTAGCATCCCAAAACACAGAATGGGTCAACCTGTCCTTATATTAATTGACACATGTTGAGGATCATCATGTCTATGATTATTGCACTCATTGCAAGTTATTATTGTATACAGGTTTTGCTTATCAACTTCGTACAAACTAACAGTCAAATCCATACAAAATGACAGTCAAATTCATACAAATTTGACTGTTAGTTTGTATGAATTTGACTGTCAGTTTGTACGAAGTTGGTATGCAAAACCTATAATGGAAATTTTTGCTAACGAATTTAATAAGCAAATTAAGAAGTAATCAAAGTCTTCATTATTTTTGAGTAGAAATAGATTTAATTTTTATTCAATTAAAAGATTATATTGTGTCAACAAAAAGCATATGATCGAATTGATAATTTCATTTCTTTATGATTAAATGCAAAATCAGAATTTATTTTATTGTAAGGTAAAAAATAAAAATTAACAAATCTACTACTTTCTTGTGGGTATGCATTTTATTTAATGTCTTGCAAAGTAAAATTATGAATCTAAATTGTACTAAATTTCCTGTTCAAAGTGAAAAACGTCTTGAGGAAATTAAAATAATACCTAAGCGTAAGAAAAACTTAAAGATAAACTTAAAGATTCTCAAATATTTAAAAAACTTGTTATTATTGAAAAACTTTATGTGGATGAACTAAATAATACAATAAATTTGAGATTTTTTTGCATGATTAATTACTATATAAAAACTTTATCATAGAGAATTATATTCATCATCTAATTAAAATATAAAATTATTAATTAGGTTGTTAAAAAAAGGTAAAGAAAAAAGAAACATACCAGAATTTATGTATTCAATTTCTTCATCATTAATAAAAGAATCCATGAAGTCATAGTCATCATCGTCTTCTACATAATCATCATCATTGGTGTCATCTTCAATCTCTATTTTGTCATCTTCAATCTCTATCTCATCATCTTCATCATCTTCAATTTCTATGATTGTCCACAATTGTTACCTACAACTAATGCAAAAAGAACAACTTAACTTTTACCTCACAATTAACTATTAATTTGTTAAACAATACCTTCATATGAGTTTTTATTCTCTAGTTTTGTTTTTAAATCATTAAAAATGGAACTCCACAGGTTAGATTTGGCTTTGAACTCTTGGTTTTTTTTTAAGATGCATTTCTTCCTTTGATGACTTGAATCTAATAAAATTGTCTATAATGTCCTTAAAAACAAAGGACAATACTGGTTCTTGCATGATTTTAACATGACATGTCAGACATTCTTGTTTTTCTTCAAACTAACAATTATAGTCTCAGTATATTACAAATCATCAATTTAATTTGTTAAAATATTAAAATTACTACATACCCATTCATAAAGGCAGTGATAGCAAAAAGTATGACCACATGAAGTGGTACAAGGATTTGACATGTATTCAAGACATATATTGCACTTTAATTCAAATGTATTTATGATGGCTTCTAGCCCTTTATAATCTGTTCTCTATCAAGTACTTCATTATTTAATACTTCTTTTTCCTTCTTAAGTCGCATGATCTCATCAACGTATTTTATTTTAGTCATGTGATTTCTTTAATTTTAATATTATCATTATTGCAGCAAAAATTTAGAAGCTATTTTATTACTTTAAAACAATTCGAGTGATACATTTAATTATTTAACAAGAATTTGTCATAAAGTATTATTCATTTTAAAAAAATCAGTTCAAAAATCAATTCAATACTGCCGATTTGACCAAATGATTGATGCTGAATACCAGGATATTCAATTGTTTTATATTTATTGAATTTTACGTTCTCACTTACTGTGGCTTGAACGATTTATTTTGAGATTGAGGTCCTCATTTAAATCCCTAACACTAATAGCTACAAAAAACACATATAATCACATATTAAATCATATTTAACAATTAAATATAAACACAAACTTAAATTTTTATCCTAACTATTGTTGGCTCGAAAATTGTTCAACTCTCACAGCTAAGTCGAAATAGGTGTATTAGATTTGACTGGTGGGTTCTTGATGGCCTCCTCTTGAGTCATTCCTTCAACCAATATTTTCACTAATTCTTGTCTTCTTCTATGCCTTAACACAGAATTACACTATGTCGAACGGAGTTGGAACTCTTCTCTTTGTGATGTAACTTATGCCCTGGTTTTATAGTCATGTGGATTTAATTACAATTTTTCTAGTTTTTATTGGATAGCACTTTCACTTTTATTATGGGTGTGTTAGGTATTTCAAAATTGTAATTACTTAGTTATTTTAATAAATGATTAATTTACTTTTAAGACTAATCTATTTACACTATATCATTAATAAAAGCCATATATTACATCAATTTGCCCTAATTAACAAATTTAAGAAAAGTAATAGAAGTAAGAAAAATTAAATTTCTTTTACTTTTCAAATATCGACGTTTGGTTATGTGACAACTATGATCGAATTCAAAGCTCACACTATAAATAATTGTGTAATAAAATGATCAAAAATGTAAAATAAAATCAAAATCTCAATATTACTTTTAAAATTAGTTTTCTTACTTAAAACCATTTTAATGTTTACAATATTTTTGGGATTAATGAATGGAAAAGGTCGGATTTGTGAATTTAGATATTTTGGTTATACTTGATAACAAATGACAAGTTGAGTTTTGTATCAATGAAAATTTCTAATAAACTTGTTATACTATACTATTCTATTTTTATAAAACTAATAATTAAATCTTTAATAAATGAATTCTTTATAGTCCAGACTCTTACATTCTAATTCTGAGGTTTGTTTATTATTAACTAATAAATAAAAGTGTAAATTCACCAATATAACTAGTTTAGCATAAAAATTCAAATAATCTATGAAATATTTGAATTATTGGGTTGTATTATCTCATTCATCAAGAAAAATAAAAATCATATAAATTGGATCGTTTTTCCTTAAGTTTTATTTTCTACCTCAGTTTGTCGACAAACTTCAATGAATCTAAAATGTCACAACAGAAAAAAGTTAATGTACATTTCAACAACTAATTGTTTATAATTTATAATTACTATTATAAAATTAAAAAATATCTCAAATTGATTCTATTATTGATCACAGAAAATATAGGCATCAGTTGCATATTAAAGCAGAGCAAAAACGATGTTCAGATATCAAACGTGGTTTTGATGAACTTCTTTTATATTTTCTGACTTATTCAGGCTACAAGATAAGTAAAGCTGTTTTACTTCAAAAAGATGATTATCAATTTCTTTTTAAACAAGGAACATATTAGTTCACATTAAGTTCATTGAACAATCTATTTTTTGTGTAATAGCTACCTCTCATTTTAGGACTCAAGCATTTGAAATCAATCGTCTAAGTCAGATGTGTGAATATTTAAATGCAGAATTGGAGGTAACAACTTATTTAATTAATTAAAATTTTTTATGATAAATCAATTTTAAATTGTTAATCAATTTTAAATTCTAATAATAGTTTTATAAACAATCACAATTTATAGGACTTACAGAATTAACTATCCCAATAACTTATTGTTATATAGATTTTTAAAATAATACAAACAAAAATAATGAAAATCACTAAATAAACAAGCTTATAAAAAGAATTTTTGTTTTCAGATTTGCATTTGTTATTTATATTGTTTAATGCCAAAAATATAAGTCAACACTGAGTTTGTTAAAAAGAGAAGTCAAATTCGTACAAACTGACACAAGTCAATTAAAATTTTCATATAAAAAAAAATGGCACAAAAATTTTAAAATTTCATATAAAACAAAAAGTCAATTCTTAGTATTAGTTAAATGATATGCATATATTATCATATGTGAAATGACATAGTAACTATTTCCAAAAAATAAAATTATTTACAATAATAAGCATTATTTCAGAATGTAGAGATGAGAATTATCAATCACAATACACCTCAATTAACTAACAGTTTACAATAAACTATTTTTAATTATATTAACTTTATAGTTTGGTAAGTTAAATCTTATCAGAAGGGTTATTACTTTAAAATTTATTGTTTTTTGATTGTTAATTCAAATTTAATTTTTATTTATATTAATTCAAATTATACTTTACAATTAGTGATAGGACTACAATTGTTAAAAATAGGTACTTTATAAAGAATTAACTTTTTCAATAGAATATGGTGAAAATAAATTTTTAATTTTTAAGTCCCATCACTATTTACAAATGACAAGTAATTAAAATTAAGATTTTAATTATGCAATTATTTTTATTAATTGAAGATTAATTTATCAATTATTTCAATTAATTCTTTAAATCAAACTCAAGAATCAACTATCTACAATAATTTTAATATAAAGTAATTTAATAGGTGAAATTCAAAATTATATATATAATATTAATAATTCATAATTTTTTTTATTAAGTAATTGCTTAATTTTTTTGTTTCTAAAAATTGATAGATTTCTAAAAAATGAAAAGCAATCAAGAGGGAAAAGATGAAAGTTTTTTTGACTTTTTTTATTTTCAATTAAAATGCGAGACATTATTTCTGACAAGTTTTCAGACTTAAGTAGTAAAGAAGTTTCAAATATTATTTTAAAGGCATGGTCATGTCTTTTTGAAAATTATAAAACAAAATATAAAATGAAGAAGAATATTCTGAAAAAAAATTTTGATATTATAGATGTTATTCCTTCTCAAAAGAAAAAAAAAATTTCTGATAATCTTTATTCATACCCACAATATCCAACACAAAGTTATAATCTGATAAAATTGATTCTCTTTTGCGCTCTTTCTATATCAATTGTAAATAATAACAAGTTTAGACAATTCTGTATTTCAGTTGGATTTATACCCCCAAATAGTGAAACTATAAGAAATACAATTATTAATGCATCTAATCGAACAAATAAACAAATTCAGACTAAAATAATAGAAACTGCTGAGTTTGTAGCACTTACTTTAGATACTCATTCATATTCTTATATTGGAATAACTTGTCATTAGATTACAAATGATTTCAAGTTAATTGATGTTGTTCTTGATGTGATGAATTTTTCAGGAGATGATGCAACGGAACTTGTTAAAAAATTTCAACTTATATTATCAAAATTTGGATTAACTCATAAAAATATCATAAGCATTACTAATGACAATTATGATGTGAAAGTTCTTTTGACACAAATAAAAATCGAAATTATTCCATATTTGACAAATATTTTACAAATTAACGTTAAATCAGGACTTTCTTGTATTAATGATATTTTAGACAAGTCAAAAAAGTTAATTGAAGTTTTAAGCAATAATACAAATCACCAGAAATTAAGAGACATTCAACAGCAAATTGATCAAAATATAAAACAACCATTGGATGTAATAGATGTTAAAGAAGACTAGAATTCAATTTATCAAACTAATCGTTGGTTAATAGGACTTCAACTTCCAATTCAATATTTATATAGAACTCTTAATAACAATATATTAGGTATTAGTATAGAAGATGAAAAAATTAAAGAAAATTTACTTTCTGATGATGAATTTGATATATGCAGAGAACTTGATATTATCTTAAACCTATTTTATGAATTGATCGAAATGTTAAAAGTTTCAAAATATCCTGCATTAAGTTTCATGACCCCAGCAATTGAAAACATTAAGCAATATCTTAGTAATTATCAACCTAAAAATGATGTTATTCAACATCTAAAAGATAATATATTAGATAATATTAAAAAGAACTTTGGTTTGCCTTCAACTCTTGGACTATATAGATCTTTTTTTGATCCTCGTTTCAAAAATTTGCTTTATATTAACAATGTAAATGTCAAAATTATATATTTGATTTCAACAGTATAATATTATTAAAAAAAAAATCTTTTTAACATAGGAATTATGTCACGAAATTATTAATAATCTTCGAGAGCAATATACGAAACTTTCAGAACCAATACAAATAAAAAAGGAAGATTCGAAGATATTATCATTTTTCCAATCGTTTAGTAAGGAAAATTATGGGAAAACAGAATTTGATAAGTATCTTGAGTTATCTCACTTGCTTGTAACAGAAGAAAATAATCCTTTGAGGTGGTGGGGTGAAAATAAATATTTGTTTCCTACATTGGCAAAGCTTGCTAGAAAATATCTATCAATTCCGGCCTTTTCTGTTCCTCATAGAGGGCTGTTCCCAGATGAAAAAAGTTAAAATTTATATCAAGATATCGATATCAGTAAACATCTTATATTTTTAAAGTATAATTTATTATGATTCTATGTAAACCTTAGTATCAAAACTTGTATTGAATATATTTCAAATAAAAAAATTTTTCAAAAATTGTAAAATGAATTAAAAAGGTCTGCTTTCTAATTTGTTGCTTGGATTTTTATTTTTGCATATTCTGTAGAATTCATTTAAATTTTCTGATTCTCTAGTTACGCAAAATTTCGCAATATATAAAAACAAAATTGTTATTTAATAAATTGTTAATTTTAAATAGAGTTTTGGGTTATTTTACATTTACATTATGTTTTGTCTTCAGCATAATGATGGTCGTATACTTTTTTCACCTGGTGTGCCAATACTGTATCATACTTAAATATCGTATTTAATAATTATAAAGAATTAAATTTTTTCAAGTTTGTGAAATTTAATTCTTAAATGTCACAAATAACCAGTCACGAGTCATTTCAAAAGCAAAACCATTTGTTGGTTGATAAGCTAATATTTTTGACCAATTAAAATTAATTATAATTAATTATAAAAAGACGAAAGAAGTTGCCAAAAAGCAAAGGTTCAATTTTACTGACTACACATATTAAAGTCAAAATTCTATTTAGTAAAGTTGTTTAGAAAAACAAATTGCATCAAAATTATTTAAAATTTTCAGAATATATGATGTTTGTCTTCCTGAACAACTTTAATATATATCTAAATTTTGACATAAATAACGTCATTCACAAAATCTGATCACCTTTTCAAATAACTCAGGCATAGAGATATAAACTGTGGATGGCAATATAAAACTAACAATTTCACAGTTTATTTATATTAACTACTAGTTTATAGTTTGCACCTCTACTCGGGCATAATTCAGATAATACTAGGCTCATTACTTCTATAATACATCAGTTATTGCGGTATTAAGAGAGATTCTGATTAATAAATTTTAACAACGCGCACGTTGTAATGCAGTATTATTGTATAAAAAATGCTATAGGTGCTTGTTATCATTTGAATTTAAAATTAAATCAATTGTCCCTAATTCATTTGCATTATTTTAAAATCTATTATTTTGATGGTAAATCTTCAAATAGAAAGAAATCAAATTCAATAAATTAGTTATTGCAGTACTAAAGTGTATTAAGAGAGATTCAACAATGTTAATATGGTATTGTTATATAAAAAATGCTATCGATGCTTGTCAACATTTGAATGTAAAATTAAATCAATTGTCCCTAATCTATTTGCATTATCTAAAATCTATTTAATTTCATGTAAAATTTCAAATATTCAAAGAAAAAGGAATCAAATTATAATGAGTTTTGATAATTTTACTCTAATTGAAGAAACAAACATAATATCCAATATTGAAAACAGTAATGAAATTACTGGAATTACCGTTTTCATTCCAAATGGGTTTTTACCAGTTTTAGTACAAAGTAATGAGACTGTAAATTTACAAAATATGATAAAGGAACTACCTAAGCTAAAAATAAAAATCCCAGCATGGGTTTTAAATACGGCAGGAATAGATCAATCATTAAACGAAAAAGTCACAAAAAAAGCTCCAAATTGTTTCATGTTGTTCCAAAAAGATATGTGTCATATTGTAAAAGCATATTACCAACATTTAAGCAACCATGAAGTATCAATTCTTATTGCAAAATTGTGGAAACAAGTAAATGATGAAATTAAAGATGAGTATAGGAAGCAAGCTCAAGAAATCCAAAAAGAATATCAAAAACGGAATGCAGATAATAGAGTTAAATATATATATAAAAGAAAATTACCTGAAGAAAAGGTGCATCATAAGAGGAATAAATATACCGATAATCAAATTTCAGAGCTACGTGATCAAATAGGATTTGATTCCAACTCTAAAGAAAATAATGATGAATTACAAAACAAGCTGAAAAATATTCTTGACCTTTCATTAGATAACACTATTATATCAAAAAAGACAAATGAAAAAAATAATGTTAAAACTTATTCTGAAGAGTCAGGTGTCGGAAATAATAACCAAAAAAACTTATTCCGAAGAGTTAAGTACAAATGGCCTAAAAAATTATTTTGAAGAAAACAAAGAAGTATCATTTGCTTATCCACAAGAATTTGATCTCAGTTTGCAATCAGGATACAATCTTTTTGGAAATCAATTTTCATTTACAGACTTTGGCTACGAGACAGAAAATTTCGAGGATCCTTATAATAATCCTTATGCATCAATAACAACAAATAAAGTAGAGGATTCTAATGAACTGATATCTTACGAAAAAAAGTTTACAGAAAAATTAGCTGATGAATCAGAGTTAATGGATATGTTGACAACGGAAAGTAAAGAAAGTCCCTTTAATAGTGAGCAGTCTTCAAAAAAAATAGCAAATTTAGATATAGAATCATTAATGAGCATTATAACAAAAAATAGGGCTGGCTAGTTATATCATTAAAATTGTCGGGAATAATATGTCACATGTGATAAATTAGTGTCACACCTGGTGCCCTATGTGACGTTTTGAAAACTGTCAATAACCGTGTCTTAATTATTAAAATATCTAATCGCTTTGCTTAAGTCAATTCTTATTTTTTATATTTATTTGGTATATGAATAAAAAGTCATAAATTACATATTTAATCTTACATCTGCACAGTCAATATTATATACTCTCTCTCAAACACATAAAAATTTTTGCTTTTGTTACAGGTTTTGTATACCAAGTTAGTAATTTCATACAAACTGAATGTGTTCGTACAAACTGACTTTCAATTGTACGAATTTGACTGTCAGCTTGTACGAATTTGACTGTCAGCTTGTACGAATTTGACTGTCAGTTTGTACGAACTTGGTATGCAAACCTAAAATAATTCTCATTTGGACGCATTTTTGGAATTGGGCAAAAATTAAAAACCCCAAATTACTTAAACAGAACCCAAAATCAAAAAAAAAACCAATATAATTATCATGTCAACCCCCTACCCTTGAAATTCACTTCCTAAAACATATTGATTAGTCAAATGATCTGATAGTAAAATGTATTATTGAATTCTTTTTCGGCTGTATTAGGTATATATTTGTTAAAGAAATTCATTAAAAAGTTGGAATCCTTCTTTAGTTTTGCTGATTCAACTAAACACATGCGTAAGAAATAATCTTGTGGTTTTTGCTTTATATTTGTAAAAGCGTCGATTAAAATCTTTCCAATTTCATCCAATCATCTTTTAAAGAGGTGGAATATATCGAGAATAATACTATAATTTAATTGAAACCCCAGATCAATTAATTCAGTAAGACGTGCCTCAACAGTTTTAACGTCTGGTTTAGTCCAAGTCCATCCAGGATATTGTGCAGGAGGAAAAAGAATTAAAAGTGCTCCTTGCATTACGAGAACGTTAACATCCTGGCAAATTTCAAAGTAACCGATTTCTTTCCATAAAAGCACTAAGTCTTTTCGAATCAAGATTGCGCGCGCAATAACATTAAGTTGCCTATTATTTTCATATCCATCTTTTGGTGGATATTCTTCCGGCAAATTAGCATGCACTTCATTTGATTTTCTTGGTGGAAATGGTATAAATTTCATGCGTAATATTAGATTCGTAATCTCTTTCATATTTTTTTCTAAAACAATTGGTGCATAATCAATATTATGAGAACCTCCAGATAGAAAATGAAAAAGCTCCATATCATTTCCTTTCAAGTATAAATTAGCCTTAAACTGATTTGAGGCCTCTTTTAATAAAAATATATAAGCGGAAATCGACAAATTACTAGCCCAGGGTATCGTACTTTGCTGCAAAGTCTTAATCCTATCTATATCTGTTTGTCCCACACTATGAACAATCTTTAATTCAATAAGTTTTTGATCGTAGTTACCATAGTGAATAAGAAGACGTTGTGCAAAATATCTCGAAAGAATTCCACCTTTAGCAATAATAGCACGAGCAACATCAACAGAAATAAATGATAGACCTAATCTAATAGCATGAAAAAGACAGTATACACTTCCAAATTAAAAAATAATCCATTCTGCTCTTGCTTGAGAATCTTTACATATAAAATTCCAGTTTTTACAACATACTAATAAATTTATGGGGTTTTTAACAAACTTAAAGATATTTATCTTTACTTCATTAGGTATTTCATATTGAAAGTAATTATTTTTTTGAGT